AGCCTTCGAAATTCGAGTACCAGCAATTAACTCGAATTTCCACTTGAACAAACTTTGTGAAACTGAAGATAGCAGAAAAAGAAGAGATAAAAACTGTAGTTTTTCTGATGATATTCGTTTTGGAGAGGAAAGGGGTATTTATAAACCCTTTAGGTGTCTGTTAGGATTAACAGACTCAACCTCTGCAAATAGGCACCTTTTAAAAATCAAAAGTCACCTTTTCAAAATTAAAAACGTTTTAATAATTAAAACGTTTTTTTATTAATTAACAAAATTAATAGGTGACTAAAAGAAATAAATTTCGGGCTATTTAATTGGCCCAAGTGCCCAATCTTGACTATTAATAATATAGCTAAATTCTAGTTTCCATCCAAAACATCTTTAAAATATTCAAATAATGTAAAATAAAGAAGTGCTTTTAAACACTTCTTCCTTTCTTTCTTTTTCCAATGAGGGATAAAGCAACCTCTTGTCAAATACTCCCATCAAAACACTAACTAATATAATACTAGCCTCTTCAAGAAGGCTGGTGAACTCTGTACACCACGTGGTGCAGAAGTTGCCTGAGTGGTTTTTCCCCAGGCGACAAAGTTTACTCGTTTGGCCAACCCTCGGTGGATTTGGTCATGGATAGGTTAATCGCAGGGAACACTCCACACAATATTGATGTTCCTAACCAGCTTATTGAGTCTCATCAAAATGCTAGTGTCGGTGAGGTCAATATGGACGAGTCGATCGATAAAGAGGGAATGTTGGAGACGGAGAAAAGTTGCGGAGTAGCCTTACAATGAATTAGGAGGGATGCTACTTCAGATGAGCGTTGGTGGGAAGCTCCAATAAAAGAACTCAAAGGTTTTCAACTTCGAGAACTGGTAAAGGCCATGAAAATGGGAAAAAAGAAATGTCAAATAGAGGCGCAACGCCAACTGCATGGTATTGCATTTCCATTTCGCACCCTTGGAAGTGCCTTGGCTCCCTGTGGGGCTAGGGTGATCTCTTTGTATGGTTCCAATGCTAGCCTATCTAAATTGAGGCTAGCTCCTACCATTTCAAAGCAAGGCTCCAGGATTCACCTTTGGTGCTAATAGGGCCAGTGGATCTTCTTCAATTTAATAGTTCTCTAGCAGTTAAATTCTCACAATCGGCGTTTTATATTTAAATATTTATGGTTATCTTATATAGAAATAATTGATATAGATTTTATCCATATTGTTAGCAATATCTCGGTGTGGATAAACTATCAATTGTTACGTCCCGGAATCGCAACCTCGGAACTGTGATGGCGCCTAACGTCCACTTGCTAGGCAAGCCGGCGCGAAATAGATAATTAACCGATTTTAACAGTTGGAAACAAATGTTAACATTATAACTATAAAAGTCTGAAGTAGAGTAATATAACACCGAGCAACGAAATCTTAACATATCCCAGAACCTCGAGTCACGAATACATGAGCATCTAGAGTGCTATAAATAAAGTCTGAACAAAGTACAACTGTTTTGAAACTCAATAAAACAATAGAGATAGAAGGGAAGGGGACTTCAGGACTGCGGACGACGTGCAACTATACCTCAAGTCTCCAACTACGAGTGAATTCAAGTAGGAAGCTACTAAGCACCGCTAGGACCAATATCTGCATCTGCACAAGAAGTGCAGAAGTATAGTATGAGTGCAACTGATCCAATGTACTCTGTAAGTGTCGAGCCTAACCTCGACGAGGTAATGACGAGGCTATGACAAGACAACTATATAAATAAATATGTACAAGTGTATATAAATCATCAACAATAACAAAGAATGATAACGTACTAAGTGGAAGGGGACATGCGAAAAGGGGAAAATATAATAAATACGACAAGTATGAAATCACGAAATAACCAAAAAAATCACCAAAACTAGAAATTTGTCAAATCAATGATATTAAAATGGCACGGCATCACTCTTCGTGCTTTTACTCTCGTCCTCACCATGCAATAATATGAATATAATGGCACGGCATTACCCTTCGTGCTTTTACTCTCTTCCTCACCATGTAATAATAGTATGTATGAAACGTCACGGTATCATCCTTCGTGCTTTTACTCTCTTCCTAACCATGTAATAATGATAATATGAATGAAATGGCATAGCATCACCCTTTGTGCTTTTACTCTCTTCCTTACCATGCAATAATAATAATAATAATAATAATAATATGACTTCAAATAATAAACGATACGGAGAATAGTTTAACTTTAAATGTGGTGCCATGATATCAAACTTCAAGATCCAAAAATATTCAACAGTTTTGAAATAGGCAATACATATAAAATGAATAATCAAAGAAGTAATAATCTACCCTAAGCATGCATATCATAATTAACAGAACAATATAATACAAAGAAATAATTTTCACCCGCATGCTTTAACCCAATGACAATGCAGAGATACTCGTCACCTTACATATACATTGTCCCCACATATAAAACACATAGCAAATAGACCAACAAGCTTGTTCCAATCCCTCAAGTGAAGGTTAACCACGACACTTACCTTACTCCGCAACCAAATCAATGCTCAATCCGGGCCCGCTTGGTCAAACCCGAGATTCGGACGAAATCCAATTACCCATTCACTTTCGAGCCCGGTTATGTGATTAATTTCAAAAAATTGATCTCAATTTGAGGTCTAAATTTCAAATTTTCAAAATCCCCAATTTCTACCTAAATCCCTAATTTCTACCATGAAAAAGCACATATTAAAGGTAAAATCAATGGGTGTTTATTTCAATGTAAGGAAACAAGTTAAAATCTTTTAACGTATGATGTTGGGATGAAAAACCTCTTTAAAATCGCCTCTAGGCCCAGCTCAAACTTCAAAATGGTGAAAAATGGGATGATTCCCGATTTTTAGAAGTTTTAAAGACTAGGCGTAAAGTGTTTGTTGCGTTCGCGAGACACGTGACACGATCGCGAAGCGTTACTGCCTATTGGCCTTCGCATTCGTGAGAGGTTGTACGCGTTCGCGATGGCCTGTCCCCCGGCCTTCGCGTTCGCGAGCCTGATCTTGCATTCGTGTAGAGAAACCCATGCCTCCCCCAGAATCTCACTTAATCTATCACGTTCACGAGTGAATGGTCGCGTTTGTGGAGGGTAATCCCTCTGATGATTGGTGTTTGCCACTGCTTCTCCATGTTCGCATAGAAGAAAACCACCCCAGCCCCATGTTCCCCTTCGTGATCGCAAGTGTAGCTATGTGATTGCGAAGCACAATGCACCAGACATCAGCAACAGCTGAACCAGCAGATCCTCTAAGTCCAAAATTGATCAGTAGCCTATCCGAAACTCACCCGAGCTCCTTGAACTCCATATAAAATATGCAAACACGTGTAATAACATCATACAAACTTGCTTGTGCAATCAAAATAATATAATAACACCTAGAACTACGAATCGAATATTAAAATGCAGGAAATTTTTAAAGAAACTCAAGAACTTTCAAATTCACAATCGAGCGTCCGAATCCTATCAAATCAACTCCGTTTTGTACCAAATTTTGCAGACAAGTCTTAAATAGTAAAATGAACCTATACAAAATTCTAGAACTATAATTCAAACCCGGCAGCCATAAAGCCAACCTACGGTCAAACTTTGGAATTCTTTTAACCTTCAAATTACTAATTTTCAACAAATCACGTCAAAACAAGTTAGGAACTTTCGAATTCAATTTCGGGCATGCGCCCAAGTCCAAATCACGATACAGACCCACCGGGATTGTCAGAATACCAATCGGGGTCCATTTTCATAAAATATTGACTCAACTCAAATCATTTTTAAAGGTAAAATTCATTTCTTCAATTTTTCACATAAAACTTTCCGGAATAAGACACGGGTTTTGCACGCATATAAAAAAATAATAGATGGAGCTTATAGGGATCTCGAAACACGAAAATAAAGGCGAAAATTCAAAATGACCTATCGGATCATCACACAATTAAGTTTGTCTTTCTCTACAATTCTAATATTATTCTCAGTGAACAAACGATAGTTATGCCATCTATTTAGTCCGCGGTTTTAATCACTCATTGAAGTAAAAATCACTCCCTAAACGCTAATGTAGTAAAAGATTAAATTTGAATCTGACACAGAAGTCATTTAAGTTAGCTTGAAGTGTTTATTTACCAAAAAAACAAAAAAGTTAACTTGAAGTACAAATGATCTCATTTAAGGAAATAAAAACCTAATGGAGTGCACGTACCTATACGCATATAAAAAAGAACAATACAGCGATGAGAACCTTTATACATAAATTAGGAAAATCATTTTTATGAGAATAAGAATGAGGAAAGAACGATGTCATACAATATAGAAGCGGATCCAGAATTTTGAGAAGATGGGTGTACTATTACAAAAAGGTTTATTCATGATATAAATTTTACGGATTAAATCTTTAGTTTTTTCATATACATCTATACTCCTTAATGTGTCATACTTCGAATATTTGAATGAATATATCAAAGAAAGAAAGAAAGAAAAAGAGAGTGTACTTAATCAATGAGCAAGAACTGGCACTACACATGCCTATTTCTGGTGGATGCGCCAAATTCTAGAAAAAGAAAAGATAAACCACAAGATAGCTATAGATAAGATTTAACTCACAACTTCACTTGGACGCTTGCGCCCAATAATCATCGCATCATATGATACTTTGAGCTTTAAGTGTACACATATATATTTATGTATTTTGAAAAAGTATAACATTATTATACATGATCAGGGGAGCATGTGTTCACATGGGAACCCCTTAGATACGCATGTGAATATGGCATGTGCTAATTCTTTCTATTTGCAATTTTATAATAATAAAGACTAACTTTTAATCGAAAAGACAGTCATCAGTCTTCTTCATGTTTGTCATCAATCATCTTCATGTTTGTCATCAGTCATCTTCATGTTTGTCAAAAGACATTAAAAAAAACTCTAACCTCTTAATACTTGAGCTACAGTGGTCCACGTTTGATGCTCAACGCACCAAGAAAATCACAATACTTGAGCTATTAATTGTTATTTGCAACTTTTGTAGTCCAAAAAAGATACTCTAATTATCTGAAATGGCAACTACTGGATCTTTTTTTATTTTATTTTTTTTGGTACTAGCAACTACTCGATCAACATCCTCTGTCGCGGGAGAAATGGTGACTGTTCTTAGCATTGATGGAGGTGGCATTAAAGGCATCATCCCTGCTACTGTTCTTTCTTTTCTGGAAAGCCAACTCCAGGTATACTGTAAACATATTATTCATGGCTTCTTACTGTTGTTCCTTATCGTTTTTCTTTTCATTATTTCTGTTTATGTTTTTTTGAGCCGAGAGCCTATTAAAAAAAGCTCTTTTATCTTTATAAAATAGGAATAAGATTTACATACACACTATTCTGCTCAAACCTATTATGTGAGATTACACGGTGTATGTTGTTCTTGTTAACTCTCCTATATATAAAAGGAATTAAAACAAAGATCTCTTGCGTAGTTGAAAATAAAATAATGTGAGATATAAAAGAATTTAAAGCTGAAAAGGAATTATCAAAAAAAAAAAAAAAAAATCTTGTATAGATGTGTCTAATTAATGAATGGTTGTTTTTGAGTCAGGAATTAGACAATGATGAAGATGCAAGACTTGCAGATTACTTCGATGTGATTGCAGGAACAAGTACAGGTGGCATATTGACCTCTATGATAAGTGCTACAAATAAAAAGGGTCGTCCCTTCTCAGCTGCCAAAGATATTTTATCCTTTTACTTCGAGCATGGCCCTAAGATTTTTTCACCTCGGTACATATAGTTTTTATATATTTAATAATTGTATTCTATGTTTAGCTTTTTATACAAAAATGGAGTATAAAACTTACCATTAAATCACCTAAAAGTATAAAGATAAGAATTCATTGTTCAAAAGATCATTTAACTATCCAAAATTACTGGCAAAAAAAATTATACGGATATGCAAAAGGTTGTATGTTTAATTTATAGAATAGTATAATAAAACAGATTTGGTTTCAATTGGAGGGCTTGGTCTCCCATTTTGGCCCCCAAATATGATGGAAAATATCTTCACAAGGTTCTGCAAGAGAAGTTGGGGGAGACTCGTTTGCATCAGACTTTAACAAATGTTGTCATTCCAACCTTTGACATGAAGAAATTTCAGCCAACAATATTCACTAAGTCGGAGGTAAGTCTTCCATAAATCATATCATCTAGTTTTTATTTATTTATTTTATGGATATATTGTTGGGACCAAAATACTTTAAGATGAATATTATCATCTTTTACCCAAGAACTATTATATCAAATCATCGAGAAATCGAAATTAGTTGCGGAAGCTACCTGAATCCATGAGAACGACTGGAATTTTTCGGTCTAGCAATTAGTAGTCTTCCAAACCAAGATGTATGAATTGCACATATGGCGTCTCTCCCTTTTCCAACGATGAGATATTAGAAATGAACATTACGTATGATTTGGGGACCATAACCCTATTGTATATCACCTTATGAGCTCAAAAATATTTGCTATCATAAATCAAAATACCTCCAAACAATCTCATCCATCAATCATGCCAATATTGGACCAAGACGGCTTTTGTTGCATTTATCACAACTAAATCTTCCTTGATCACGAATACCAACATAGCCAAATGACATAGATCAAGTATGGATGTGTATCATGAAAATTACATGCAATGTGATACAAGTATGCCTAATTCCAACAGTTACACAACAAAAAAAAGTCAAAGTGAAAAATAAACTGAATATTTTATATCTGCAGAAAGAACCTCATACATCCTTAAACTGAAACCATTACATGAAACCTTAAACTGAAAGCCAAATTGTGTTTGTAAGGAATATTTAAACGGTTATAAAATCCCATTGAAACTGAATATTCTTAAATGACATGACACTCATATGAGCAGTGTGCCCGTGAAAGACCTTGGGTGGTAGTCTCTTAGTAAGTGGATCCACTACTATGGAGTTTGTACCAATATATTCTACAGAGACCTAATCACCCCGAGCTCTTTCTTTAACAATGTCACGACTCAAATTTTACATATCGTGATGGCGTCAATTGCAATAGTAGGCAAGCCGACAATCACAATAAATCATGCATCGTTAAATCTGAAAACATAACAAGATAAGATTAAGAGTGAAACCTCATAAATACTAATAAGAAAATACCGTGACTTAATACAATATCCCCGAAAATCCAGGTGTCACTGAGTACATGAGCATCTAAATAAGAACATAGTCTGATTGCTAAAATGTCACGACTCAGAACTAACCCTGTCGTGATGGCGCCCAACGTGGTACTAGACAAGCCGGCACACTACCAAAACCAATCAATATTTCCATTTTTAAGACAAAACCAAAGTTATTTAACAATAACCTGCATAAGGAGTTTAAATCAAAACAACAGTGCGGAAAGAAACCCCGACATCGGGATGTCACTAGTCATGAGCATCTACTACAACCGTCTGACAACATCAAGGCTAACATAGCCTGGAAATAACTGAATACAACTAAGGGAGGGTAAGGAGGGAGAAAAGCATGGCTGCGATCGCCAGGTAGCTACCTTACTAACTCCAATGAACCTGCCACTGAGTAATCAATACCCGCTACCGGGTTCAGAAATACCTGGATCTGCACACAAGGTGCAGGGAGTAATGTGAGTACGCCAACTCAGTAAGTAATAAAAGTAAATAGAGACTGAGCAGTAGTGACGAGCAATAAAACATATACAATTCATATCATGAAATATCAGTAAAATACAACAGGCTTTGAAAATCAGGGTTTTGATTCAACTCTGCTCATTTAAATCCAATTCCAGTAAAACCATTTAAAACATCTTTCAACTATTTTTTAACAAAGTGATGAAACAGTGAGTAAAAAAATTATGAAAACATAAACAGCCCCTCGGGCAAAACTCACTCGTATACAGCCCATCGGGCAACATAAATCAAGAACAACCCCTCGACTAACATCACTCGTGAACATCCCCTCGGGAAAACATGAATCATAAACAGCCCCTCGGGAAAACCTCACAGTCACTCATATACAGCCCCTCGGGCATTACCTCACAATCGCTTGTAAACAGCCCCTCGGGCACACAATACATCATGTAACTCACTCAGGGTACCCGCGTTCACTGGGGGTGTACAGACTTCGGAGGGGCTCCTACAGCCCAAGCACTATAACAAGCCACCTTGTGGCATAAATCAATCAGGCCCTCCGCCTCATAACAAGCCACCTCGTGGCATAAATCAATCAGGCCCTCCGCCTCATAACAATCATGAATCAATAACAACATGCTACGGCGTGCAGCCCGATCCCATAATATCCTCACAATACAGGCCTTCGGCCTCACTCAGTCAGAAACCTCTCAAGCCACTCGTGCTATCAGTAAAACAGGGTGCTCAGCCCAAAATATCATTTTATGCATCAAAACGGAGTAATAAAGACTGAGTTATGAAATCAATAAACACAGCATGACTGAGTATAAATCTTAAATCAAAAACAGTGAGAGGATAATAAGAAAAATCCCCTAAGGGTCCAAACAGCTCTGGCACGAGGCCTAAATGTGGCATTCAGCCCAATTTATAGGAAATTCTTTCCAAAACACATAAGTATCATATAATTTAAGTCAAATACGCCACTTTATAGTTGCTATGGGACGGACCAACTCACAATCCCCAACGGTGCACGCCCACACGCCCGTCACCTAGCATGTGCGTCACCTCAAAGTAGTAAAACAATGTGAAATCCGGGGTTTCATACCCTTAGGACTAGATTTACAATCATTACTTACCTCAAACCAGTCAAAAACTCTACACCGCGATGCTCTTTCCCCTCGACTCGGCCTCCAATCGCTCCGAATCTATTCACAACCATAACAATACCATCAATATACGCTAATGGAATGAATTCCACAAGAAAAACAATCAAATTAGGCACAAATCCTGAAATTCACTCAAACCCGACACGGGCCACATCTCGAAATCCGATAAAAATTACAAAACTCGAAAGCCCATTCACTCATGAGTCCATACATATGAAATTTATCAGAATCTGACCTCATTGGTCACACAAATCCTCAAAAATCCACTCTCCAATTTCAAGCCCTAAATTCCCAATTTTCTAGCTCAACTTCTCAATTAGATGATGAATAAAATCATAGATTCATGAAATTTAAACCATTATAGGTTAGAATCACTTGCCCCCAACGTTGCTCCTTCAAATCCCTTGAAAATCGCCTCTCCCCCGAGTTCCTCAAGCCCAAAATCGAAAAATGGAGAACAAAACCTCGAGCTGGGGTTTTCTGCCCAGCAAATCCGCACTTGCGGTCACATTTCCGCTGCTGCGGCACCGCACCTGCGAAATTTCCCTCGCAGGTGCGGAACTCACTTGATGCACCATATCCGCATCTGCGGCCCCTAAATCACACCTGCGACCTCGCAGATGCGGCCAGTCCTTCGCAGTTGCAGTCCAGCCTTGGCCTTCTATTTTGCATCTATGGTCCTCCTTGCGCACCTGCGGTTCCCACTCCACAGGTGCAGAAACATCTGAAGCAGCAGCTCCAGCTACATTATTCCTCATCCAAACTCTCCGTTAACCATCCGATATCATCCCGAGGCCCTCGCGACCTCAACCAATAATACCAACACGTCATATACCAACATACGAACATATTCGAATATTCGGAATACTCGAAACAACATCAAAACACCAAATCACCATCGGATTCAAGCCTAAGAACTTCTAAATCTCCATATTCTACAAACGGTGCCGAAACCTACCAATCCTCGTCTGAATAACCTGAAATTTTGCACACACATCACAATTGACACCACTGACCTATTCCAACTTCCGAAATTCCATTCCGACCCCGATAACAAAATTTCCACTGCCGACCGAGAAAAGCCAAATTTTCAATTTCGCCAGTTCAAGCCTAATTCTACCACGGACCTCCAAATCACATTCCGGACGCGCTCCCCAGTCCAAAATCACCTAACGGAGCTAACCAAATCATAAAAATTCAAATCCGAGATCGAATACTAAGAAGTCAAAGCTTGGTCAAATCTTTCAAATTTAAAGCTTCAAGCTTAGAATCATTCTTCCATAACTGTTCCGACTAACCTGAAAACCAAAATCGATGATTTACATAAGTCATAATACATCATACGAGGCTAGTCATGCCCGAGAACTGGTGAGTGAAGTGAAAATGCTCAAAACGACCAGTCGGGTCGTTACATAAAAACACTGTCTAGAAAGATAGAACAGTACAAGTAAATGAAAAGAAGGAGAGTCAAGGTCTACCGACGCCAAGGCAGCTACCTCGATAGTCTCAAATAGATAAATCTACAAAAGCTAGCAGTCGTCGTACCCGGAAGTACCTAGATCTGTACATGAAGTGCAGAGTGTAGTATGAGTACAACCGACCCAATATACTCAATAAGTAACAAGACTAACCTTGGTCTGAAAGTAGTGACGATCTTAATAGGTACAGTTGAAATACATAATTTAACAGCACAAAAATGTAGACATGCTTTAAGTTCAACAGTTTAAGCGCAAAACAGATAAAATATGCCAAGTGTGACTGAAATGAGAAATGATACATCTCTATATCTATATGTCAATTATGCATGCCAACTATAATGCAACGTAGTGATAAAAATCATATGCATAATCTCGGAGTATCCGTTCGCCCAATCCTCCCATTCACTCAATCCTCACAGTCACTTAGTCTTCCCAATCGCTCAGACTCGTGCTCGACGCTCGCACTCGCACTTAGTAGTTACCTGCTCTCACTACTGGTAAGTCAGACTCCAGTGGGATGGATCCTGCCCAAGCGCTAAAATAAGACAATTATGGCATGAATCAATAAAACCTGCTGCAGCGTGCTGCCCGATCCCATATACATCCTCAAAATCGGGTCCTCGGCCTCACTCAGTCATCAATCTCTCCAGTCTCTCGGGCTCATGAATATCATGAAAATCAGCCCAAACAGTGATGATATGATGTATCAATATATGGCAATAGAGACTAAGATATGATATGCAAAAGATAGATGTAACTGAGTACATAATTGCAGATTAAGCAAGTAATTCAACAACAACGCGACCTCTATGGGTCCCAATAGTACCAGATATAGCCTAAGCATGCTTTCTAACATGAATCA